TTTTTTTTTTTTTTTTCATCTGTCGTAGAACGAAAAAAAATAAAAGGTGTTTCGGCCCCATGGTTGGGCCACGGCCGAGATGTCTCGGCCACACCCTAGATTAGCCATGACCGAGATGTCTCGGCCACACCCCAGATTGGCCATGGAATGTGAGAATCACCAAACAGTGCAGCGAATATGTAGAAGTGCAGCATACATGTGGCGCTGACGCGCCCAAACCACATAAGATCAAAGTCGTACACAGTAATTCGATAGGTAATCAACCATAGCAATCCCACAACACCTAGAAACCTTTGTTTGTTCCACCTCTCCCACTGCAGCTGCACCCGACCACCTCGTCCGGACTTAGTGGACGGGAAACAACTCCAGAACCTGAAGGAACTACCACGTTGACTTTGCTCCTATTATAGCCCATCGTTTCGCAAAAACGCACCGGTCCCCGGGGGCTTAAACCAATCTCGTCTAAGGGTCCCATACCGCCCATCCAAAATCGCCAAGGGTGCAAAGGCCCTATTCTCAAAGGTTACTCCATTCCGACCCACAAGACCAGCCCAAAATTCAGGGTCCCGAATAGACTCACAACACCTACAATAACACCGGACCTAACTCTGCCGAAATAATCCCGACTATCACAGACGACAGTACCCCAAAAAATACCTCAATTCCTGCTGCCCTGTTTTCCTCCAACTTTCAACCCTGTTTACATTCCTATCGTCCTAACTTACATCTCTAACCGCTATAGGCAACGACCCTAGTTCCAGCCCATACATTACAGCCCCTCAACCATTCACGATCGCAAAACCCTGTACAACTTGACTCCCCGCCTGAGGCCCCGATGATACCTAATCCGAGAAAATTAAGACGCTGCCCCTAAGCACTGATTAGACGCAGCGCAGCTGCTTAGGCTTTGTCCTTACCAACAACAAATCTACGAAGCACTTTCTCAAAGAATTCGAACGGAAAATCACGCTTGTATAATTCCTTTTGCAATGTCAATACCCGTATAGGAATCTCCGATCGAACAGACGCATTCCGCTCGATTTTGTGCAAATACCCATAAATAACTGCACTTTTCTGTCGCTTGCATCCCCATGACAAATAAGACTTACCATTTTTATAGACCAGCGGATCATTAGTCCAAATTCAGTCCTCATTCTTGGACATCTGTACACAGCTCAGCATAGGGTAACTCTGTCTGGCTACGACTTTGCATCCCAAAAATTCAGTAGTCCCCTCCCCGTCATCGGTTCGTTTTAGTACCAGTCCCTCCGGATAGCAGTTGCGAAATGATTGCAATAGCATATCTCGATCCTCCCCCTTTTTCCAAACCAGAGCTAGGAGGACATCATCCATCAAGCGTGTCGCAAACAGGTGGCTAGCTTGACGCCCCAGATTCCCTATCAGGCGATACTCCGCATAAGCACAAAGGATACAAGCCAGCGGCGGGCTAGTGTTTTTCCCCATAGGGATACCCACCTTCTGCTTCAATAGAACACTGGTCGTGAAAAAGCAAGTGTTTCGCAGATCTATACTAACAAAAGATCTTATGTCCTGTAGTTCTAGCATCGCCCAATGGTCTGCTCCGGTGGTCAAACCGAAGCTGGCTCCTCTCCCCCGGGTATTCACCCGAATCATTGTCTGATTCCTGGATACATGCCAATCAATCAACCAATTCACCGCATCAATGATCGCTTCATAAGGCAACTTTGTAAACATTTCCTTAATATCAAAGGACTACATAGTCACATTATGATCACTGCCCAGACGTGCCAACCTCCGATTCCCCCGCTCTAATGAAGTAACCAGATCAGACACCGATCGTAAATTAAAGTGCCAACCCCTCGGAACAGTATACAGTAAATGGTTCAAAGCTTTGGACACCAATTTGCCAAAACGAGCTAAAGGGTCCGCAAATGATGGACAAATAGGCCGAAAACGACTCAAGTCCTTATGCTTTGGGATAACGTAAGCATTCCCAAAGCTTCCCTTCACGTCCACCCGAGCAAACTTCGACAAATTATGAGTAGACACATCTTCCATCATCTCCCGGATTACACATGACACCGGTTCCTTCACCACCCTGTATCCTGGATTCAATACAAACAGTTTTAGCATAGCAGAACAGTACAACTGAGGACACATCACAACAGTTTCACCAGTATTGCGGTCAACAGATGTTACCACCAAATCTTCGAACCTCTGTTTTCAAATTTCGACCTCTGCCATCAACACAGAGTTTTTCAAATACGGGACCGCCTCCTCGTCCCTTATACAGTTCTTTACACAGTCACGATCAAAAGAAGGTGGACTGCCTCGAAGATTTTTCCACCTGAGGAATCCTTGGAGCAATTCCTCGCACAGGCTGACTTCCCTCATTTCTTTACGCACACAGGGTATGTTATTAGCGTTAGCCAAGAAAGGTGACACTCCCCGCAGTTCATATAGTCGAAAGATAACATGGTCTTCCCATCTCGGGTAAGGCAGACCCGTACAGGTACAAGTGAGCACACTGCGTTTCGAAAAACAACGCTGGTTGTGCAATACATCGGCGATCGTGGGATTTCTTGTCCTTACGTTACGCATCTTCTTTCGAGCCCTATGCAAAAAGCAGATAGGTAAGTCACGTTTCATAAGTGCATCATTCGCTACTTTCCGGACCTCACTAATCCGAATTCTATCGTCAAATTGGATTCTAAAAGTCAAATCTGCAGCAAGACTTAATCCAAACCTTCCTCGAATTTGACGAGAAATCAGCCGCCTCAAATACTTCCGTGTCGATTTACGCGAAAAATCCTTAATCACATTATAGATCCGAAGGTAGGATTTCAAACCCCAACCATACAAACAAGCTCAACTTTCCAGGATTTTTTAGGATCCCAATCAACAGTTTCTTCAGAAAGCCACAACGAGATTGCCATTTACAAACATGTACGATCTCAAACACACCACCCTTCTCCAAAAGTTCCCGGCAATCCTTCAATCGCAATACATCCGGCCCAAACTTCAATTTCGACTCTTTAAAAGTCTTAATCAGCTTACGCCACCGAGGGAACCAAACATTACCACCGTCTGTGCTTATCTGACACGGAGTTCCAACCTCTTCTTTACTCCGTTCCAGTAGACGATAAAAGTCAAAGGTCCACTCCACATCACCCTCCCGAAGAAATTTAACAGGGGCTATCCTAGTATTGGTCGCCGAAGGACCCTTTCCCTTGCCCCTCAAACGTTCCCTTTTTCCCGGTTTACTCTTTGCACGTCTCTTCCCCTTGATCTTATTAGTTCCCAACGTATTCAAGAATGGTGACCATTTCTTGATATACGTGAGTTCCAATTGGCCAAGGTCTTGTCCCCCTAGAACGTCAACCGGAATTAGGACATAATTACCCGGCCCAAAATTTACCAACCAACGGTGGAAATGTGATTTAGAGTGTTTTTGACAGACATACCAATGTTCCCTCCACCTAACCGTTGTATAACGCGTGGTTTTCCGAACATAAGCATGCTTACAAAATGGAGATACAACCACATATACACAGTCTGATAGATTCATAAAGTCTACCCCATGCTTGTTATACAGTTCCAACCAATTACACACGAACTTATCAAACCACTTGACTTCCTTATTAACAGCTAAAAGCAGAAATACAGTTACAAACAGGGCATCAATCCGACTATCAAGCTGATCAGTGCTACACCGCCACTTTGCAAGAAATCAACAGACAACCCACAGCTGAGGCACTCGTAGGTCCCATTTGTTTATTGCATCGCTCCCTTCATTCGGTCCGACAACTTCCGAGTCTTCAATATTGATGGCTTCGGGTTGCAGCTCAGGTACCTCCTCGATCTCCAACTTCAGGTACGTGCGATGGTCAGTGATATCAAATATCTCATCCACCTTACCATCGTACGGCACCCCTTCCTCCCGGCAAATACGCTGCAGTTCACTGGCGTCCAGCAGCTTCAGCTCCTGCATCATTATGTTGCGGTACTTGTAACGCGCCAACGATCCCTTCAAGTCCGGAGTTCCGATCCCAGTGTCAAGCGGCGTCACCTTCTTCTTACGTGCCAACAGAGGAGTGCGCACCGGAGTCTTCCGTTTCGCTGATCCAGGCGACTTCACCATCTTTGCTCGTGCTCGCGTCAGTCTTCTAGTAAATGTTGCCTGCTTCCGTCTTGATTTTGGTGTCCGTTTTGCTGGTGATTCCATCGGAGGACTATTCCCAATAACTCTGTCCGGACCTCGCTTACGCTTCTCAGAAATAACCAAGTCGGTGGTTCTCGCACTCAAGTCCTGGGTGATACTCGCCTCGCTTTCACTGCCACTACCGCTGCACGCCGGCCCACGCTTCACCTCCTTACCCTTTTCGTTAGGCAGCTTACCTGTCCCGGTTATCGCTTGCTTCATGCGATGCCCAAACTTATCCTCCAACTCGCTAAGCTGCATCACCATTTGCATACTCAAATCCTTCTTCAATTCCGTGCGGCTCTCCGCTTCCTTCCTTCGTCTTTCCTTCTTCTTCCTAGCCTTCTTTTCTTGGATAACCCTTTCCTCCTCTTCACGGATCCGCATCTCCTCTTCTCGTCGCTTCTCCTCCTCCTTTTCCTGCTTCCGCCTTAAACGATTCTCCTCACGCATCCATTCCTCCTCGAAGTGTTGCTTCATTGCCGCGACACTCCTACCCAGCTCACTGATTTGCTGGGTCACCCCCCGATCCAGCTGCGCGGCTGGTTCCCGTCTCCAATCCCCGCGTCGTGGGGACCTTGACCTCAGGGAATCCGTGGATGTTGACGGGCGCGCCATGCCCCCATACCTCCTAGGCCGCGGGCACTGATTACCATAGTGCCCTATCTCGTTGCAATTAAAGCATATCGGTCCTCGTCTTCGATCGCCACGATCACGATCCTCGGCACGGTCATCCCGCTCTCGGTCATCCTGCGCCCGATCATCCATGCCTCGCACATCTCTGCTACGCTCGTACCTCTCCGGATTCGACATCCAATCCTTCAATGAAGCGTATGTCTATCCACTGTTACGCTTTCGTCGACTAGAGCACACTTTCACTGTTCACCGAAGTTTCTCGTATTCCACGATAAGGCGCTCACTCACCACCGGCATGTCATCTGCAGCGGAGTTCACGCTAGCATTTCACATAGGAATGTGAGAATCACCAAACAGTGCAGCAAACACGCAGAAGTGCAGCATACACGTGGCGCTGACGCGCCCAAACCACACAGGATCAAAGTCGTACACAGTAATTCGATAGGTAATCAACCATAGCAATCGCATAACACCCAGAAACCTCCGTTTTTTCCACCTCTCCCACTGCAGCTGCACCCGACCACCTCGTCCGGACTTAGAGGACGGGAAACAACTCCAGAACCTGAAGGAACTACAACGTTGACTTTGATCCTATTATAGCCCATTGTTTCGCGAAAACGCACCGGTACCCGGGCGCTTAAACCAATCTCGTCTAAGGGTCCCGTACCGCCCATCCAAAATCGCCAAGGGTCCAAAGGTCCTATGCTCAAAGGATACTCCATTCCGACCCACAAGACTAGCCCAAAATTCAGGGTCCTGAATAGACTCACAGCACCTACAATAACACCGTGCCTAACTCTGTCGAAATAATCCCGACTATCACAGACGACAGTACCCCAAAAAATACCTCAATTCCTGCTGCCCTGTTTTCCTCCAACTTTCAACCCTGTAATGGTCTCGGCCACACCATAGATTGGCCATGGCCCAGATATATCGGCCAAACCCCGGCGTGGCCCGACCATGATTTTTTTTTTTTTTTTTTTTTTTTCCCGTCCCAGCCGCGGCGCGGCGCGACCATACGACGGATTAAAAAAAAAACAAAAAAAAAAAACAAAGAAGAAGAAGACAAAAGTGCCTGTTTTGAACAGGCACCATGTGTATAACGCGGGCCACTGTTATTATCGCCGTTTTGAACTACGGTCGGGACGGATCTGCGGAAGACTGTTTTTTTTGCCCATTCAAAACGTGGGTTGTGACCCACCAGCCGTTGCCCCCCAAAAAAAAGGGAAGAAGAAGAAGACCCTGGGGCCAAGTCCCACATGCACGTCCAACAAGCTCCACCAGCCTCGACGCATACGGTTTCTACGACTTGAAAACTCAAAACAAAGGCAAAAAAGGAGAACCAAATGCCGCGGAAAGCTTTGATTCCCCTATTTCCCAAAATCAATGAATAACCAAATGCTACTGAAATCTTTGTCCATATTTTCTAAAAAGTAAAATGGAAGAAACAAAGACGGGGGTTCCGGACTGGCGGCACGGTAGCGCTAATTCTGCGCTATGCGGTCTGCTTCCGTTGGCGGCTGCCTCCAGTCGGCGGCCGAGTATGGAGAGGTGCTACGCTGAAACCACACTTTACTCTCATCGCCTCCCCTACCCTCCTTGGCCTCCGGGCTATGGTTGATAGCTTGATGCCCAGAGAAAAGTGTGCCATAGCCCCACCTCCTCCTTGATTGGGGGAGAGCGCGCCTTTGTGTTTGTGCTCACTGACAGGGACTATGGCATCCTGGCAGCCCTGCTCGAACGGGATTCATCAATTTACCCCAAGTACGCCAATTACACCAATCACCAACTACACTATCACACGGCACTCGAAGGACTATGGCGAGGATGGCAGCAGCATCAGCACAAGCAGTGGGAGGGCTGTGATGACGGCGGGAGTGTTGTCTACAACTCCAATGGAACAGGGTGACTCACCAGACCTGGTCGAAACAATGAAGAGTATCTGGCCGAGGTTTTGGCTTGATACACTCCCTAAATCTCAGAGGAGCAGGGGAGAATGCAACACAGAACAGAACTATTGGAGACGACGTTGCTGCGGACAGTGGGATAGTCTGCAGCAATGGTGGGAGCCTGTCCGCAGTTTCAAGAGAGCGCCAGTACCAGTTCCGTCATGACTGCGTGTTTCATATTTCGGGCTGCTCTGAATCTGTCCATAGTTGGAGCGAGAAGAGGATCCGGTGCTCTGAATGTGTCCAGGTGCTCTGAATTTGTCCCTGTTGGTAGGTTAGACTGGTTGATTGCGGGCAGGTAGAGATAAGACTTCTTCTGCTCTCTCATGGGATAGAGTGAAATAGCGAGGTAGGTCGTTCTCTCATTTTGGGTTGCTCTGTATTTGTCCATGGCCTTAGGGAACATTCATCTGTTGTGACGTGTGTTTTTTTTTGGCTTGAGAGATAGAGAGAGAGACAGGTCAAAATGGGACCTGCTGCTCTCTTCTTGCTTATTTCTGCACCTCTGTTCCTGCATATAGTGACATCACGGGATATTTTAATTTGGGGCAAGTACTTTTTTTTTTTTTTTTTTTTTTTGAGAATGCTGTTCATATTTCTCGTCAAAAACTAGGAAACGGGCCCAGCGTCCCTCACATAGATGCTGTAACCATCCGGGGCTAAGAAAGGCACTTCTGGCCAACCCTATCCCCAACTACAGCCATCCAGCTACCGAGACCCCAACCCTTCCCCCAGTACTATCAACCCCAAGCTGCCATGGAGATAACGAAGAAAACAATCATTACCTTAACACAAAAGACAGAATTATCACCCTAAGCACGAAAGAGAGAACTATCACCCTATCACCCTGTAGGGGTCGCACATCACAAAAGTCTACAGCACCCAATATTCACGTCGCAATCCTATCATACTGTCCTTGAACAGTCGATGACCACAGGCAATAATCGTTCGTGACATCGATGAGGAAACAACCGTAATATAGTGTCGAGTTTCACATCAGTCAGAGTTCAACTATCTATGGAGCAGAAATCGATGAGAAAACAACCGTAATATAGCGTCGAGTTTCACATCAGTCAGAGTTCAACTATCTATGGAGCAGAAACAGCCACACGAAGTCACACACCATGCCCAAAATTATCTCCGAACCGAGCTATCTGCAGAGCAAGACCAGCTTCACCTAAGCTAACAGACGTCACCCCAAAACGACAGACCTAATGAGGGGGCAGCATCCGGCCCATCATTCCAGGTGATCCCCGGAAGGTGGGAGAAGTCGGCAGAAGGATAAGCACATCAGAGTGTGGGTAAGTGGAAGACAACGGAGGGAGGTGCGTGACACCAATAAGGAGATCGGTGGAGAAGGACGAGCCTCTACAGCAACGAGAGGAAAAATAGGGGCGTCGAGATTAGTAAAGATATAGCGCACGAGCGGCTATCAAAGAGAAGAGAGACACAGCAATTGGAGGGAGAAGGACAAGCACATCAGAGCGTGGGTAAGTGGAAGCCAACGGAGGGAGGTGAGCGACGCCAACGAGGAGACCGGGGAGAGGGACGAGCCTCTACAGAAGCGAGAGGAAAAGAAGGGAGGTCGAGATTAGTCAAGACATAGCGCAATCGGAGGAAGAAGGACAAGCACATCAGAGCGTGGGTAAGTGGAAGACAACGGAGGGAGCGACACCAACGAGGAGATCGGTGGGGAAGGACAAGCCTCTACAAAAGTGAGAGAGAAAAGAAAGGGGGGGTCATAAAATCGAAAGTGTATAAGACGTGGAAGAAAAAACGTGACAACAATAGGGGAAAGGGGCAACCGAGGACATCAACAGACCACGACGGCGGCGATTGTACAATCTGAGGAAAATGAGGAGCAACGCGGCGAAAGAAGGAAACGAGAAGAAAAAGAGGAGTTAAGGCAGCCGCCTTCCTCAGGGGTCTCGGTGGGATTACTCCCCCGAGGAGGAGGCCGACTGAGCACTGTTGGACGAGATCGGTAAACTTCTCGCACCCCTCCCGTTATCTCCCCCGATCTGGCCTCTCCCGACCCGACCTACCCACACCACACACTTTGGCAAACTCCTCGTACCCTTCCTGTTACCTTCCCATGATCTCTCCCTAGCGTTGTTAGACAAGAATCGGTAAATTCCTCGCACCCCTCCTGTTATCTCCTTTGATCTGGTATCTTCCACCCCGATTCCTCCTCCCCCCGAAAGAATATCGACTTACAAGTGACATTCCGTGCCCATTCTAGATGACGCCAATCAAGCAGGCAGCCAGAAACAGAAGGAAGGGGGAAACCTTGCTATATCGTGGCGCGATGAGACAACACGAGACTTGGAAGCACTATATTCCAAAGGGAGCAAACACGGTTACTGGCCATGAGAATGGAAAGGGCGAACATGATAGCCAGCAGAATCGAGGGAAAGACAACCCGCCTGGCTTACCACCTGGCAAGGAAGTAGAGTTACAGAATAAGACGGACAAGTTTTCTAACACGGACAAAACTGAAGCCCGATCATCCCAAGCATCCTCCTCCACGTCCTGGGCTGAAAAGCTAAAAGGTCCTTACAGCGGCACGTCACTCAAAGTTAGAAGAGGGGAATTGGGAGGAGATGAAGAGAGACAAGGAATCGAAATCCCTTTGGATAATCTCACGACGGCCAGTGCTTTTTTTCTTACAAAATTTCTAACCAGTTCAGAAGACAAACTGATAAACCAAGGGGGTAAACAACGTAGAATAAAGGCTCTCCCTACCGGAAAGGTGCAGGAAAGGGATGAGATTTACACCCGCCATGCGAGTAATTGGGTGTTGTACGACGATGCCACATACAAAACGACGAATGATAAAATACTCTGGATTAGGAAGAGGTGAGCGATGCTTAAAGGATCAGAGGAAGGAGCACGAGACTTCTTCCTAATCCAGGTGCTTTCGTCAACAGTATATACCATTATCTGCATGTTTGATGCTGACAAACGCACAATGGACGCCTGGCGCAGCATCCGCTGCGGCCGATCAGTAGTTTGGATTTACCCATGGTCTCCGCAGAGACAACAGAAAGCGGCCGAGAACAGGCAACAACTAATGGCAGACTGGTATTGGGTTGAATTCAGGCATGTCCCGATTGAGATTCAGACGACGTTCATACAGGATTTGGTACAAAAATACGATATTGTGGATTTTATCGACCCCTTGTCGTCTTATGTCGCTAAAAGGGACGACTACCTAATGTTAGCCTTGGATCTTCCCAAGGATCACGTCTTCCAAATCGACGACGTGATTGAGTCTCGCATAGGGGGGCAGGAGTTCAA